CACATGCATGTGTGAAGGCAGCAGTGTTCTCCACAATCCAAATTAGCTGGTGGGCGGCCTAATTAGCATAAATTTGCATATTAATTTGCATATCGTTTACATACAGCATTCTCGCATTGATGACATGAACTGCAATACACACTAAGTTATTTACTATTCTCTTTTTAATTTAATTTAATTGGAACATGTTACAATTTTTTGAAATACAAACAGATTGGTCACTATCAATATTTACGAAATGCAAAAAGTTTGAAATCGGTGATTTATGCGTTCGCAAATTATTCTGCGTTCATGAAATGCAATTCGAGTAACCAAGAGCAAGTACAAAACATAATTGAGTTATAAGGTAGAAAATATACGAGATGATTTGCCCACGAAGCCAAAACAGACAATTTGTCAAAACAAAATCCATAACATTTTTATTTGTGGCATCAGTACTCACCCTTGCCGACGGACGGTAAGATGCATTTACGCATGTACGGCCACGATACGTTGCGTTTTCACACATTGTTTTGGAATTCAAGAAAAAAATGCTAGCAATCGGCAAAATAAAAGAATCTGATATGTTCTCGAAAGATTAGACATAAAAAATAGATAAATTGAAAAAAGTACGTGGAAAAGATAACTAAAATATTATTCAATTACAAATACTCGCGGTAAACTAATCCAGCAGCCATGTTTGATGTTTATTACCGCTTTCCGAATTCAGTACACGAACACCCAGAATGCGCTGTTCCCCTATGCAACTTAGATACTAAATCGTTACAGCGCCAACAGCGGTGGGTAGCAGACGGTCGTTGAATGGGGTAGGCCAAAAGGTCATCAGTTTGCCTTCTCCATGCTGTTTTCACAATGAAAATCGAGCGAACGTTGTAAATACGGCTAGAATTTAAATTTTTGTTCGAGTTTACATGCAATCTGCTAATATATTTGTTTATTTTCTGTGCATATACATTTCGTTCGTATTTACTTCTTTCTTTCGTGATCGGAAGACGATTATTAAAAATACAGCTGTAAATTGAAACCACTGTAGTTGCGTATCGTGAGCAATAAGTGGCAACAATGTCTGGCGACAATGAATTCAAGCGATTGACACATTGCCATGAATACACTTGATAACTGCTTGCAGACTTCCAATGGACATTGTTTATGTTTGGACTGTTGAAACAATAGCAAAATAAAGGGTTGGGCAACTACTCTTTTGTTTAGGCTTGGGAAGAACAATGTAAGCTTTTTACAAATAATTTCAGCTGGATGTACGTTGGTGGGCGGGTGTTGAGAGTTACTGGGCGGCCGTAAAACTTGATGGGCGGGCCGCCCGCCTAAAACCCCTTGTGGAGAACACTGAATTACTATACATATTGTTCATTTGCTAATGATATCTTCTGTTCTTTAATTGAAATATGCACTGCTAACAGCAGAGCTATCTCAGCCGACAGGCTGCTTGTCTATCAATATTTCAAGTAATTTTGAATTAATTTTTAATGTATATCCAATACACATCAGCACACAGGAGTGTGTTTATTTCAGATCATAAAAAATACATAGCAAAAAAAATACAAGTCAAAAAATCCATAATTTCCATATTAAACTCTGGGAATGAATTGAAATGTACAATGTTGTTGTTACAATGGGGTTAGATGAAAGGTGCAGTCTACTCATAAAGCTAAATGTCTTTTTCCGAAGAATTTCATCAAAGGATCTAATATAAAGATTAACAAACCCTGCCCTATCACTCTGTACAACAGAATGTGAATACCCAGATAATTTACGAAACACAAGTGAGTGTGCTCTCCTAATAGAGTTAAAACTACAAAGTGTAAAATTAGACCACAAAAATGCACAATATGGAATATCACAAAATACAGAAAATAAATGACATTTAACATCTAAGGACACAAATTTAAAATCGGGAATAATCGCGTTGCCTCTCACATAAAAGAGACGAGATTTGGCCTGAATGTCAACGTTGTCATTAAGGTCACTAGTGATCAAGTGTCCCAGATATTTATATACAGTGACGTAATCAAGTAGTCTACCACTTAAGTAAATTTACACATTCCTTAACCTTCGAAAACGAGGCTGAATTAACATGCATACATTTTTTTTCTCATTAAAAAAGATAGAGTTAAGTTTGCCATACCGTCCGTAAGTATCAACTAGTAATTGTTGACCATACGCTCCTGTACTGAATACTACAATATCGTCAGCATAAAATAAATGATTAATTCTCTGACTCCCTATTAAACAACCAAATGGAAGGGAGGATACAGTGGCCCCTCGCTAAGTCGCGCCTCGGTAAGTTGCGATTCGGCTAAGTCGCGGGTACTTGGATGGCTCCCAAAATTTCTATTGTGTTTGACAGCAGTTTTGAAGTACAAAGACTAATGTTTCGTGGCATAGTGTATTTAACTAACCGTTAAAGAGACAACTTAACACCCACTGTCCGTCAATTG